GGGGGAGAATCTGGATAACCTGGAGACTGCATATGAATAAATTATTCTTTATGAGACTATCATTTATATCATTATATTGTTTATATCTATTTTAAAAAATACTCAATTAGTGAAATATCGCATTATAATTTACATATGTAATGTCATATTCTCTGTGGGGTTCTGTCCTACAGCCTTCATGTAGCATTAAAAGAAAAACTTTAGACAAATTAAATTTAAGAGTTTAATTGAGCAAACAACGATGAATCAGGCAATCCCCAGAACCAGAACACGTTCAGAAAGACTCCAGGACTACCACATGGTCAGATAACATTTATGGTCAGTAAAAGGAAAAAGTATGTATAGAAAATGCAAATAAGAAACAGAAACAGCCGGTGTCTGCTAATTTGAATAGGGCAGCCTGTGGTTGGCTGAGACGCAGCTACTTTTACAAGAGCAGGTGACAAGTCTTTTAGACATCAAGTTAGGTTACAGTTCACTATATACTGAGAAATCTTTAGGCCAAATTTAAAATATGTTCCGCAGAGGCTTTAGTCCAAACTTAATTTAACAGTACTATAAGTTAAGTATCAATATCGCTATAATTGTATCAGTCAGGGTCTTATCAAGAGAACAAAGGCACACCAGATGGTTCCAAGAAGGAAATTTAATACAAGGAACTAGTTACAAAGGTGGCAGAAGAACCGAAAGGCTTAAGAGATTAGCAGCAGCAAGACTGAGAGACAAAGGGAACAGATGGTACCAGAGCACAGGAGTTAGGTGAGCCTAATGGGACCAAGAACCCCAGCAGAGACTGCCCATTGAGGGCTGGGACAAAAGAGGGAAGCTATAGCCAGCAGGCACTGAAGCCACAGAGAAGGCATGCTCCCTAAGCAGAAAGAGTGGAGGAGAAATACCCTGGTTTCTTCTTTCCTCCTCCTACCTTCCAATGTCCCACCACTACTTCCATCATAAAAACTTATCAGGAAGCAAGTCGGTTAGGGAGTCTGGGATATGTAGTTTGCAGAAGTCAGCCTCCTGCAATATAGACCAAGCAAGGCACAGATAGAGTGGATCTGATAGCAACAGGCAAATGGCTAGCCTGTGATTACACTTAAAAGTATCTGAAATGTGAAGAGTAGAAACTCAAGGCCATATTAGAATGCTGACCCATTAAGCTAACTTACCTTAGTTCATCCTCATATTAAAGGTAGGAACTTCTTATTACAAGAAATAATATTGACATTTATTATTATCATCCTTATCCTTCTTACAGTACAACTATAAAATACTCCCTCAAGGAAGTCTAGCATGACACAGGTATTTAGAGTCAGAGGAGGTGATGGCAGGACAGACATTTAGAGATCAAGGCCCAAGGTAAGGGAACAGGCACGGTGGCTCAAGCCTGTAATCCCAGCACTTTGGGAGGTCGAGGGAGGTGGATCACTTGAGGTCAGGAGTTCAAGACCAGCCTGGCCAACATGATGAAACCGTATCTCTACTACACATACAAAACTTAGCTGGGTGTGGTGGTACGCACCTGTAATCCCAGCTATTCTGGAGGCTGAGGCAGGAGAGTCATTTAAAACCAGGTACGCAGAGGTTGCAGTGTGTCGAGAACGTGCCACTGCACTCCAACCTGGGCCACAGAGTGAGACCCCGTCTCAAAAAAAAAAAATAAATAAATAAAATAAATGAATCCAAGGTAAGAAACATGAGTTAACAATAAACACCACACATTATCTCTGCTTCCTACATCACCACTAAAAGGTAACATTATTCTTCTCACTTTAGAAATGCACACTTGGTAAAGACACTAGCTTGCCAAAGATATCATTGGCAGTTAACAGCAAAGCTCTCTGACTATGAAGACCATGTTCTTCCTACTGTTAGGGTAAAGGGACTTGTCCAAGATCACATAGCTGGCAGTGGATGGTAGAACTTTATTCAGGGATTCCACCTTCTAACTCAGCAGGGCAGCTCAGAAATCAATTATTTCTATGTCTGGGAGCTAAGCTATGAGGTCGCAAAGGCCTAAGAATGATACAGTGGACTCTAGGGACATAGAGAAAGGTGGGAGGGGGATGAGGGATAAAAGATCACACGCTGGGGCAGGTTCGGTGGCTCACGCCTGTAATCCCAGCACTTTGGGAGGCTGAGGCGGGTGGATCATGAGGTCTGGAGTTCAAGAACAGCCTGGCCAAGATGTTGAAACCCCGTCTCTAATAAAAATACAAAAATTAGCCAGGCATGGTGGCAGGGTCCTGTAATCCCAGCTACTCGGGAGGCTGAGACAGGAGAATCACTTGAACCTGGGGGACGGAGGTTTCAATGAGGCAAGATCATGCCATTGCACACTCCAGCCTGGGTGACAGAGTGAGACTCTGTCTCAAAAAAAAAAAAAAAAAAAAAGACCACACCCTGGGCACAGTGTACACTGCTCAGGTGATGGGTGCACCAACATCTCAGAAATCACCACTAAAGAACTTATCTCTGTAGCCAAACAACACCTGCTCCCCAAAAACCATTGACATGAAAAAAAATCAATTTTCTCTGTGTACCTAGAGTCTATCAGTTCCAGGAAGCTGTGCTAATGCTCTTCTATGACCACTTGCACCCACTCCAGTCAGATTTTGTCCCTACCAGTCACGGAAACTTCCAGTCATTTCATTTGGCTGATCTGCAGCATTTTCACTTCCTCCTCCTCATAACACCTTCTTCCTTTGTCTTTAGGACAACACACACAATATCCATTCTCCTCCAAACTCATGGAGTCAGGGAAAAGGGAGTAAGACGGCGCGGCTCCTCTCCAGCCTTTTTTCTAGCTCCTCCTTCTCTTCCAGACCTGTTAATGTTTCCAAGACTTCTGTTCCTTCTACCTCTTTGTTATTTATACACATACTCCCTCTTGGATGCAATGTACTCTTATGGCTGTAAATACTATACACATGTTTCACAAAAGGCCTGCTGTAAAGGTAAACCAGGCCAGGTGCAGTTGCTTTCAGCTGTGCCAGCACTTTGGGAGGCTGAGACAGATGGATCACTTGAGTTCAGGAGTTCAACACCAGCCTGGGTAACATGACAAACCAATGTCTCTACTAAAAATACAAAAATTAGTCAGGCATGGTGGTGCATGCGCTACTCCCAGCTACTCTGGTGGCTGAGGCAGGAGAATCTCTTGAGCCTAGGAGCCAGAGGCTGCAGTGAGCTGAGATTGTGCCGCTGCCCTCCAACCTGGGTGACAGAATGAGACTCTGTCTCAAAAAAAAAAAAAAAAAAAAAAAGAGGGCTGGGCACAGCAGCTCACACCTGTAATTCTCGCAGTTTGGGATGCTGAGGATGATGGATCACTTGAGGCCAGGAGTTTGAGACCAGCCTGGCCAACATGGTAAAACCCCATCTCCACTAAAAATACAAAAATTAGGGGGTCATGGTGGCACATGCCTGTAGTGCCAGCTACTCAGGAGGCTGAGGCACAAGAATCACTTGAACCCAGGAGGCGGAGGTTGCAGTAAGCTGAGATCCCAGCAGTATACTCCAGCCTGGGTGACAGAGCAAGACTCTGTCTCCCCCCAAAAAGATAAACCAAGGCACAATAACATTTTAAAGGGCTTATTTGTGCAAACAGCAATTCATGAATTGGCAGTTCTAAACCAGAAGTGTTTCCAGGGCTCTGTTGGTGAAGCATAAGGGACAAGCTTGGAAGAATGCCAAAATAATGCAAAGAAAATAATTGATTACAGTTATAAAGTGGCCTTATTTGGTGTATCCCGTGGGAATATCCCTAGCTATATAGGTCTGTTGACTGCTTCTGATTGGTTGAGCTTAAGTTTTGTTTTTCTTTAATGTAGGCGTTTACAAGAAATAGCTCAAGTTAAGTTTCACTTGTGTTTACAATTCAAGCAAGGTTAAGATCACTTAGGAGGCCTGATTGGCTTTTTCTGTTCAGGGATTCTTCAGCTGTGGTTTCCATTTTAATTTAACAGGCAAAGCCCAGATTAAAATTTTGAACAATTATTTGTAGAGGGCTTTTCTCTCAATTTCGTCTATCCTGCTGCCTTAAGATCAAGCATAAACTTGGCTCCTGTACTCTGCTACCAACCAGTGAGCATCTGCTGACCCTGCAGAGGGTGGCCCAGCACATTCCATCCCTGTGCATTTAACTCCCAAAGTAATGGCTGTAGTCCAGACCTCTCTACTATTCGGTAGCATACAGCAAACTCCTGTATTCAGGCTGGGTGTAGTGGCTCATACCTTTAATCCCAGCACTTTGGGAGGTTGAGGCAAATGGATTACCTGAGGCCAGGAGTTCGAGCCCAGCCTGGCCAACGTGGCGAAACCCTGTCTCTACTAAAAATACAAAAATTAACCAGGCATGGTGGCACATGCCTGTAATCCCGGCTACTAGGGAGGCTGAGACAGGAGAATCGCTGCAGTGAGCCAAGATCGAACCACTGCTCTCCAGCCTGGGCAACAGGGCAAGACTCCATCTCAGAAAAACAAAACAAAAACCAAAACCCGTATTCAACTGCCTACTCAGCGCCTTCACATGGAGACCTAATACTCGTCTCAAGCTTCCTATATCCAAAACTGAATTCTCCTTCTTCTCTTCCAAACCTGCTCCCCTGACATCTTCCACAGATCAATAAATGGCAGCTCCACTGGAAAGTTGCTTAGCCATGGATATGGAATATGGAATGTGAAAGAGTTAAGAATGACACAGATCTTGGTGTCATTCTTAACTCTTTCATATTCCATATTCCACAAATCTCACTGGCACCACCGTCTGGTTAAGTCTAGAATATGACGTCCTCAACACCAGCACCCTTAGAACGCCACATCATTCCTCAAATACCCTGTTAATTTCTCAGTTAACTTCCTGACTGACACCTTGCTTCTTCTCTTGCCTTTTAAAATTGAAGACAGAATAGGCCGGGTACGGTGGCTCATGCCTGTAATCCCAGCAATTTGGGAGCTGACGTGGATGGATCACCTGAAGTTGGGAGTTCAAAACCAGCTTGGCCAACATGGTGAAACCCTGTCTCTACTAAAAGCACAAAAATTAGCTAAGCGTGGTGGCATCCGCCTGTAGTCCCAGCTACTTGGGAGGCTGAAGCACTAGAATCACTTGAACCCAGGAGGTGGAAGTTGCAGTGAACAAGGATCATGCCACTGCACTCCAGCCTGGGTGACAGAGTGAGACTTCATCTCAAAAAATATATGAAGATAAAATTAAAAAAAAAATGAAGGCAGATTAAACCAGCTTTCTGTTCAAAACTCTCTAATGGCTTCCTGTCTCATTTAAAGTAAAAACCAAAGCCCTTATCAATGGTCTCTGGGCTCACCATGGTCTGTCTGGTGACCTGCCGGTACTGTCTTCTCTGCGCAGTCCCTCACTCACTCTGCTCCAGCCTCATGGGCTACCTGGCTGTCTCTACAAAATCCCTGCCATGTGCTCACCTTAAGGACTTAACACACGCTGTTTTATTTTCCAGAGCAGTACTTGGCCCATATTTCCACATGGTTTACTCCCTCCTCTCCTTCTTGGCTCAAAATGTAACTTTACAGTGAGGCTTTCACTGGCCACCTGTCTCAGGCTGCATTCTCCAACAGCAGATATTGTGAAAGAGGTTGGCTCATAGTGTATTTATTAGGAATCAATAGCTGTGAAGGGAGGGGGCAGTAACAGGATTAGGCAGAAGAAGTCAGCTGCAGTACATGCCTTACAAAGCCTTGTCCAATCTAGGAGAGGGTTCTAGAGGACGTGTTGCCCATCCATGTGTCCTGATGGTTAGGACTTTATCTTCCTATCTTGTTCAGTTACTGAATGTGGGCTCCCCTGTGAAGAGAACAACTGAGACCCAGGGTCTGCTGGGGCAGACCCTGAAGGAGTTGAAGGCTAGAGGCTCTCTGCTGACTACTCTTCTTCTCTGAAAGCAGATCTGTGCAGTTTGTACCTGAATCTAGCACACCATCCTATTTAAAATTGCAACATCCCCTAGAGTCCCTATCACCCTACCCTGCTTTATTTTCTCCATAACATTTAACATCTTCTAATGTATTATATAATTTATTTTGTTTACTATGTGTTTCCTTCACTGGGATGTAAGTTCTAACAGCAGAGGGATTTTTGTCTCCCTTGAGCCTGCTACATTTAGAATGGCACCTGGCTCATAGCAAGCACTTGGAAAATATTGGTTGATTAAACAAAGTTGTTCAGTAGCCTGTCTAGTTATTACATGGTACAGCCTCACAAGAACCATGTCTTATTAATCTCATTAGCATACAGCACATAATGTGCAATATATATCTGTTGAATATATGAGTAATCAAATCCATGAATGTTTGCTAATAACTTCATCATGAGAAAGTACTAGTACAGTGGTGGCTCATGCCTATAATCCCAGCACTTTGGGAGGTTGATTAGGCGGATTTGAGGTCAGGAGTTTGAGACCAGCCTGGCCAACATGGTGAAACCGTCTCTAGTCAAAATATGAAATTAGGCTGGCATGGTGGCAGGTGCTTGTAATCCCAGCTACTCAGGAGGCTGAGACAGGAGAATCCCTTTAACCTGGGAGGCAGAGGTTGCAGAGGGCTGAGATTGCACCACTGCACTCCAGCTTGGGTGAGAGAGTAAGTCCATCTCAAAAAAAAGAAAAAAGAAAGTTATAGTACATCACTGTACATGGAAGTAAACATGTGATTCACATCTGCAATTTAAAATTTTATTAGACATCTTAAAAAATAAGAAGAAACGGGTCATATTAATTTTAATAGTATCTAACTCAATATATCCAAAATAGTATCATTTCAACATGTAATCATTATAAAAATTATTGATGAACTATATTACATCTTTTTTGTTTTGTACTCAGTCTCTAAAATCCAGTAGTATTTTGCACTTGCGCTACGTCTCAATTCGGACAAGCCACATTTCAAGTGCTCTGTAGTCACGTGGATAGCACGGTTCTAATACAATTCTGCAGTTCAGGTGTCAGAATAATATAGTGGAGGTAGAGGTTTGGAGGGGGAGTCTTTGCAGTCATTGACTTCCTGAGTTCCAGTGTTGGCTCTTGAACTTACTAGTTGTCAATGACATCTAGCTAAAACCCACCAGGAACAAGTCGGCTTGATTGCTTTTGGAGAGAGAAGACACACTGTTGGGAATAGGGAGATGTCTGGGTAAAGGAATGTTAGGATGGTTTTATTACAGGATCTGTGTTTGTGTTAGGTGACCTGGGAGGGCTTAAGGAAGAGAGGCTGTCTTCTGGACTGGATGTTGTCAGGAAATGGGTATAATTCTAAGGTTTTATATCTTAATAAATCTTATCTAATGGAGGAAGACTAGATAGAGGTTAACACTATAATTAACAAAGAAACAAGAGTCACTCATATTAGCCAGGATAGGGGGATATTTGGTAATTTTTGTGGTGTGCACAATACTCGTATTTTGGTGGTGTCTAGACATGATTATGCAGTGGCCTTGTCTGATATTCTGATGTTTATGTTCCACAGGAAGCAAACACCTCCTAGCAACACCAAAGCTCAGCTGATATTACTAGGCAGCTCCTGGAGATCAAGGGCTGCTTTTCTCCTTCTCATAGCTATACAGTCTTAAGGTAGTGATCAAACTTCTCTGATTGTTTTCCCATTTCTAAAATGGGAATACAAAAGAGATTAAAAAATCTCTTAAGATTATCACTATTAAATGAGATGCAAAGACAATGAGTTAATGCCTGGTATATCGTCACCACTCAGTGAGTGCCATCTATTGTAGTTCAAAGATTCTAAGATGTACTGTATTTTTTTTCACATTTTAACATTTCTGAAAGTAGGGTGTGTCTTTCAAACAATGGCTTCTTCGAATAGATGAAAGGTAGTATTGTTATTTCTGAAATCTCTGGTTTGGGGGACAATTCCTTGTCCCCTCCAGTTGCTTAATCCATTCCTGGGTGAATTACTTTACTTTTTAACCTTCCTTACTTTCACTATTTCTCCGCAGGCGCCCTCTGGGGTCCTCTCCCAGCCACAGACTTTTAGTGTGCGCCGCATCCCCAGGCAATACGGGCAGTGCGGCGGCAGCACTCGAGGGCTTACGGCGGCGCGGCGCCCGAGCGGCCCAGCAGTTGAGGGGAAACCGGCGCGTCCCCGCCCGCCCGGCCGTCAGCTGATGGGCCGCCAGCCGAGGAGGCAGCCGCCGTCGCTGCGCGAACATGGCGGCCGAGATCCACGCCAGGCCGCAGAGCAGCCGCCCGGTGCTACTGAGCAAGATCGAGGGGCACCAGGACGCCGTCACGGCCGCGCTGCTCATTCCCAAGGAGGACGGCGTGATCACTGCCAGCGAGGACAGGTAGGCCCAGGCTCAGCCGGGGCGGCCCGAACTCCGCGACTACTGGGTGTGGGAGCGGTGGGGTCCGCGGGCCCGGCCCTTCCTGCGTGAGGGGCTCCCCCTGGCAGCGCGGCCCCGCACCCACGCCGCCCCCCTTTGATCCGCTGGGTTCCGGGTTCCCTCTCGCCCGTCCTCCAGTCTCTACTTGCACCTTTCCAGCCTGGGACTCCGGTCCCGCCGCGCCCCTCCAGCCCGGATCCCCTGTCCCACTGCGCGCCTCCAGCCCGGGAACTGTCTCACTGCGCCACTCAAGCCTGGGACTCCTGTTCCAACGCGTCTTTCCAGCCCAGGACCCCTGTTCCAGTGCGCCCTACCGCTCCCCTCCCAGCCCACCGCGCTCCTCGAGCCCAGGACCTCTGTCCCACCG